ATACTATTATTATCCTTACTCTACAGGTGAAGGAATTAAGGATCAGGAAGCTTGAAGTATGTTCCTCAAGTTCAGAACATGGTTCCCCAGAAATTCCGAAAGCCAGTGTGATACCCAACCTGTGACCCCTAGGCTCACCCTACAAGGACGCCCCACCCCCTCCTTGGTTGCCCCGCCCACTGCACTCTGTGGCTGCCTTCAACCCCAGGCCAGCCCCTCACTCTGTCCCACCCACTGCTCACGCTTCTCCTACTACATTTGGTCCTCTCCCCCCGTTGAAATGCCTTCCACCTTACTGTAATGTCAAACACATTTTCTCGACCTTTCCCCTCTCTAGTACATACTGTAAATTCTGAGAAGAAGCGAGGATGGAGTTGTGAGAGCAAATGAGAGAAGCATCTTCGGAATTTGGCAGTAATTTAGCTGGAGGGAGGGACAGAGGGAAGAAGTCAAAAGCAGTGCCCAGTGTACTGGCTTGGATGACAGACTGGATGAGGGAGCATTTGCTGAGGCGGGGGACACGGGACAAGGAGCAGGCGAGGCTGGGGCACGGGGCTATAGGGCTCAGATTGGGACATGGTGAGTTTGAAGTGCCTGTAGGACACCAAGCAGACCACTCGGGCAATCTGACATGTGAGTCCATCACTCAAGAGATAAGTGTCTGGGACTTCCCTGGTGGTCCAGAGGTTGAGAATCCTGCAAAGGCAGGTCACATAGCTTCAATCCCTGGTCTGGGAGCATCCCACATGCCAGGGGGCAGTTAGGCCCGGGCACCACAACTGCTGAGCCTACACGCGCTAGAGCCTGTGCTTCACAACAAGAGAAGCCTACACACCGCAACTAAAGAGAGGCCTCCATTCGCTGCAGCTAGAGAAAGCCCACACGCAGCAATGAAAATACAGGGCAACCAAAAAAAATTAAAAGTAAAAAGCTAAGTATTTTAAAAAGAAAAAGAGATAAGTATCTGCTAAAGACCATGATTTGGCAGTGAGCATACCGAAGATGCAGGTTTGATCTTTGGGTTGAGAAGATCCCCTGGAAAAGGAAATGTCATTTCACTCCAGTATTCTTGCCTGGGAAATCGCCTGATAGGCTACAGTCCATGGGGTCACAAAGAGTCGGGCAGGACTTAGCAACTAAACAACAACAACATGGGAGGATTAAGTGGTACAAGGAAGAGGAAAAGCTGCTTTGACATTGAGAAGCATGTTCCAAGATTGATTGTTGCTATGACTACCATCTTCCTCCAGCCCTCAAAGACTGGTACCTCGTACTGCCTGTAGGGGAAAAAAAAAAAAGCTGTCCAAGTCCTAGGCCCTCAGTTCCAAGCTATCCTTGTAGCCTCGTCTCACACTCCTCACCTTTCCCAAACCAATGGGCTGTGTCTGGGCTCCTTCCCTCCTCACAGGGCAATCAGACAGTCACCCCCCTCCACCATGTCATCCCAGTGCCTCACACAAATCTGTGGGCAGGAGTCACAATTGTTGCAAGCCTTTTTGAAAATTCTGTGTCTGAACTGGAAGCTCCATGAGGACAGGTGCTTTCCTTCCTTCACAAAGCAGGATATGCATTTAGTAAATATCTGCAGGACTGAATGAATGAGTGAATCTCCATTCGTCCCAAACCTAGTATCTTTTTTTGGCAATAGGATTGATAAATGAAGGATTAAAAGATTGCTACTCCATTTGCCTGGAATGTTTTCCTTACCATCTATTCCTAATGGAGGCTTAGGAGTTCTAGTGACCCTACGTGCCCCCTTCTCCCAGCCAGAAGTCTGGATCTCACAGTGCGTTATGTCTTGTGTGTAAGACTAATCTCAATTCCCATTTCATTCATCTTGTGTACTTGATACATAACCACCACTATCACGACCACCACCCCTGCCCTAAATTGAAAATCTGAAGGCAAAGCACATACCTGATAAGTTCTGCATTCCACACAGCCTCTAGTACACTCCCTCACACATTGGTTTGTAGGTAAATGCATCATACATTGAATAACTATGTTCAAAAGTACCTGACTTCAAAGACAAAGACCAATACAGTATACTAACGCATATCTATGGAATTTAGAAAGATGGTAACGATAACCCTATATGCAAAACAGAAAAAGAGACACAGATGTACAGAACAGACTTTTGGGCTGTGTGGGAGAAGGCAAGGGTGGGATGTTTTGAGAGAACATGTTTTGAGATCAAAACATGTATATTATCAAGGGTGAAACAGATCACCAGCCCAGGTTGGATGCATGAGGCAAGTACTCGGGGCTGGTGCACTGGGAAGACCCAGAGGGATGGGGTGGAGAGGGAGGTGGGAAGGGTGATCGGGATGGGGAATACATGTAAATCCATGGCTGATTCATGTCAATGTATGGCAAAAACCACTACAATAAAAAAAAGAAAAGAAATAAAACCAGATTAACCAAGCTAAAAAAAAACAAACAAACCTGATTTCCTGAGGAAACAAACTCAGAACTTTCCATGTGGCCCTTTCTAGGCCACTTAGACCAACTCCTGGCAGCCTAACTTCCTCCCCTCTTGTGAGAGGCTTCTCCAGTCCCTAGCTCACCCTGGAGTACCACCCTGCTCCCAGCCTAGACCTCCTTGGCGTTGTTCCTGCTTCCCACCCTGTAAGTGATGTGAGAGAAAGCAAGACAGAGGACCCAGCCCCACCCAGCTCCGGCAGACATGCAGCACTGCAGAGTCAACCGGTGCGTGGATTCTATGTGGCCATCAGGCCCGAGATCACGGCCGCTGGAAGTGGGGTGCTGGCGACCTGGGCAACGGAGCCCCCTTGTGCTGCCCAATTGACTTCTGTGTTTTGTCTACATCTCAAAGGGGATGAGATGCGGAGAAGGTTATTGCACTTCCACCTGCTCCCTTCCCACCCTGGACTGGTTAGAGCTTTCCTGATGCCTCAGAGAATATCCTGGGGGCAGGGGTATTCTGACTAGCCATCCTTGACTTGCATCCTGGACTGCAAGTCCAGGGCACGTTGGGCCTCCTTGGGTTGGAAGCTTCCTCACTCGGAACTCTCCTTAGTTCCTCAGTCTCCTGTTGCCCCCAGACCCTGTCTCCTGGTCTTCCTTTGTGCCATACCTATACCCCTAGGTCAGCCTCACCTGGGTCCCAGACCCACCCCCAGACTTGTGTACCCAGTCCAGTGTCTGATCGCAGGCATCAAGCAGGAGGGGAGTATAAATTGGGTTAGGACCTCGAGTGGGATATATGCAGTACTGAACTGTATACTCAGTGAAGTATAATAGGATTTTGGAAATGTCTGCCTGGACCCCTCCTGCTTACCTTCCAAGGGTCCCTAAAATATTCATCAGGCTTTATCAGGTTAATGGACTTCAAAAGGACTAATTTTCTGAGACATGAGACAAGACAGTATAAAAAAGAACATTAAGGGGAAAAAATCTTACTCTAAAATGAAAGGGAAAAGATCATTTAGCATCCCTGTTGGTGTTATCTATTCATGAGAAACAGCACATTTAATCCAGAGTGGGGTGTAGGGAGGGCTTTGATGCCTTCACTTGGGGTCACCTTCCTGCAGAACTCATCTGTCTCCGCTGCCACAGATGACAGGGGTGATGAAGACAAGAGGATGCAGAAGGATCTGAGGGTGAGGGAGCGGGAAAGAGATGGAGTCTAATGTGACTTCTAAGGCACTTGCTTGGATTGGAGGGAGGGAGTGCCATTCCCCAGCCTTGCCACCTTTTGTTCTTCCTAGCTCCTTTTCCAAGACATGCCATGTTGGTTTCTAATTTGGATCATACTGCAAAGACATCAAACCAGTCAATCCTAAAGGAAATCAACCCTGAATAGTCACTGGAAAGAGTGCTGCTGAAACTGAAGCTCCAATACTTTGGTCACCTGATGCAAAGAGCTGACTCACTGGAAAATTCCCTGATGCTGGGAAAGATTGAGGGCAGAATGATAAAGGGGCAACAGAGGATGAGATGGTTAGATAGCATTGCCAACTCAGTGGACATGAACTTGAGCAAACTCCAGGAGATAGTGAAGGACAGAGGAGTCTGCCATGGAGTTGCAGAGTCAGACATGACTTAGCGACTGAACAGCAAGTGGGATTTGAGTACCTTGAGGTCAGGAATATTGACTTTATCCTGGCTCCAAATGTCTCTACCCACCCATTAAGGTTAGGTTTTTGTTCCCAGGTCTAAGACCAGAAGTCTTAGGTACTGAAATTATGAGGGGACATGAATGTGAGTGTGCTCTGTACCAAGTTCAGCCAGGAGGACTCATCTCTCATCCTTCTTTGGCTTCCCAGGGGCTCTAAGGAAGGATGAAAATGAATCTTCTTGAGAAGACTATCTGTCTCAGAATTTATTTTGCTTCAGTTGAAAGGAGCATGAGACTACAACAGCTCTTTGGGCAAGCATTAATATAGAGACAAAGGAATTGAAGGTTTTCTGTTCTTATGAAAAATCCTTCTTCCTTTGTCCATTGCCTTGTCCTTGCTCATAACTCCTAATTTCTTCCTCTTCTGTTTTGTTCTTTCTCTTTCCCTTCCTCTGCCCCTTCTCTATCTTCATCTTCATTTCTACTTCCAGCCTAGCATCTTTCTTTTTATAGCTTCATCCATCCCCAAGCTTCGAAAACAGTTTTAACTTTTTCTTTATTGAGGAACTAAGAAAAAATTTCATACAGAGAAAATTTAAGTTGACACCCCAACCTGTCCACAAGAACTTGCCAACTTAGACAGTTGGTAATTATGTAACCAAGATAATCTGTCCATAGTCAGATATTTACCCAATGATTAGTTTCCCAGGTGTTCCTCTACCCCATGGTTTGCACCATCATGTTTGATGTGCATTTCTATAACCTCAGTGCATATCAGCCATTATGTTCACTGAGTCCTTTGCAATAAACATTGTTAACCTAAAGGTCTCTTCTCCCTCTTTCATAATTAGAATAAAAGTCTGTTGGATGTTTCATTGCGTATTCAATTTTAAGTGTTGCTTCTCTTTCTTTTCACTAGATTTGTGACAAAGAATGGCATTACTATGTCATCAATGTGGAGTTTCCTGTGGTCACCTTATACATGGATGGAGCAACGTATGAACCATACCTGGTGACTAACGATTGGCCCATTCATCCATCTCACATTGCCATGCAACTGACAGTCGGCGCTTGTTGGCAAGGTAACCCTTAAGTCCAGCCCTTCTCCCTGGCCCATCTGTGTACAGTCCATCAAAGGTAAAGACAAAGAAAAGGGCATAGCAAGTGGTATGAGCTTCAGCCAGGAAAATTTACTGTCCCCTACTAATAAAACAGGACTTAAAAAGATAAGAATGAATCCAAGCACTAAGCTTGTGTAATAATAAAGCACTTGGCTTGAGACCAGATTTTGACTTTAGATCAACAGAGCAATTTCAGGATTGCCTCTGAGTTGCTAATGCGTTTTATTTTTTTTTTTTTTTTTTTTTTATCACAACCATAGTGTATCTTTTTTTTTTTTTTTTTTTTTTTTTTTACATGTATTCCCCATCCCGGTCCCCCCTCCCACCTCCCTCTCCACCCAATCCCTCTGGGTCTTCCTGCTAATGCGTTTTATTGTTCTGGAACCTTATCTGGTTTCAAACTGGGGCTGTGTAGAGAAACGCCTGCAAGTGGAATCTGGTATAAAAAAATGCCAGTTGGCTCTGTTGCTCTCTACATTGGTCAGGAGCCAAGGATCTCTCTTTATCCCCACTCGAATTGTCTAAGACCCTGATCCTCTGTTCTGGGAACTCTCTTCCTCTGCTGCTGCCTCTCCTCCAGGCCTCAAACCCAGACTCATCACCTCTTTGGAAGTAGGAGAGCCAGCTCTCTGAGCATGCATCTAGCCTTTCTGTTCCCCACTCAGATCTGTTGGCATCTTTGTCTTTGCTCCCTTAATAGCTGGGGTTCTTTGAAGTATCAGTGAGAGACCAGAGGGGAAGTAAAACGCTCCTCAAATAAGCAGATTAGTACTTTGAAATGACTCCTCAAACTCCTGTTGATGCCTTATTTGAGGGTTACTAAGATTTGAGACCTTAACCATTTGCTGTGCAGGCGGAGGGAAAAGGTGGGTTGTGGTGCAAGATTATGACTTCAGAGGACTGGCTCCCTTTAGGGGAGACATAAGGCCATCTGGATTGGGACAAAGAGTAAGTTCTGGGCAGCTCCATGCAAGAGAAGATGCAAGAGGGCACGTGGTGCAACCCTGGGAGCACTAGGGGTACAGAACCTGGGAAGGAGACAAAGCAGGAATGAGGCAACAGGAGACAGTGTGTTTTTTCAAATTGAAGGATAGTTGATTGACATTGTTGTATTAGTTTCAGGTATACAGTAAAGTGACTCAGTTATATATGTTCTTTTTCAAACTCTTTTCCCTTATAGGTTATTGCAAAATCTTGAGTAGCGTCACCTGTGCTAAATAGTAGGTCCTTGATTATCTATTGTGTTTATAGTAGTGTGTATATGTTAATCCAAATTCCTAATTTATCCATTCCCCCCTTTCCTTTTTTGGTACCCATGGTTGTTTTCTGTCTGTAAGTCTGTATCTGGGTTTCTTTTTTCCAGTTTTTAAATATATTTGTTATTTAATGAAAAGAATTTATTTAGCATTAACTTTTAAAATTTTTCATTGGAGGATAACTGCTTTACAGTGTTGCATTGGTTTCTGCAGTGCAACAACATGAATGAGCTCTATGTGTATGTGTATGTGTATTGCCTCCCTCTTGAGCCTCCCTCCCACCCACCCTCATCCCAGCCCTCTAAGTCATCATGGAGCATCGGGCTGGGCCCCCTGTGTTATGCAGCAGCTCCCCACTAGTTATCTGTTTTACACATGGTAGTATATATATGTCAATGCTACTTTCTCATGTTTTTGTTTTGTATATAAGTTCATTTGTATATCTTTTTTTAGATTCCACATATAAGCATTATCAATGATGTTTGCTTGGCTTACTTCACCTTGTATGATAATGTCTAGGTCCATCCATGTTGCTACATATGGCATTATTTCATTCTTTTCTTATGAGTAAGAGTGTATTTTTGAGTAGAAGTCACCTACTTGAAGTCTGATGTACATCACATGACAGTAAAAATCTTCTTAAACATTTCATAGAATGTGGTAAGAGCTCCCTCAGTATTGCAGAATTCCCCAGGATATCAAGAGAGGAAGACTGTGTCATCTGGCGCAAACCCATGAAACTAGTTAGTATAGCAAGGCACTAATTCAGAGGTTGCCTCTGAATCGTTAGTCACTGAACACAGTGTTAGAACAACAGCCCTCTCATGTGGCTCATGCCCCAGCTAGATGCCACAGCCAGTCCATAGATATTTTGGAACATAGATTGGATGCTTCCCATAAGAAAGAGTGCTAAGAATGCATTTGAGTCAATTCCAATGAGGTGGATGAAACTGGAGCCTATTATACAGATTGAAGTAAGTCAGAAAGAGAAACCTCAATACAGCATTTTAATGCATATATGTAGAATTTAGAAAGATAGTAACGACGGTCCTATATGCAAGACAGCAAAAGAGACACAGATGTAAAATACAGACTTTTGGATTATGTGGGAGAAGGCGAGGGTGGGATGACATGAGAGAATACCATTGAAACATGTATATTACTATATGTAAAATAGATGACCAGTACAAGTTTGATGCATGAAGCAGGGCACTCAAAGCTGGTGCTCTGGGACAACCCAGAGGGATGGGGTAGGGGAAGGAGGTGGGAGTGGGGTTCAGGATGGGGGGGACACATGTGCACCCATGACTGATTCCTGTCGATGTATGGCAGAAACCACCACAATATTGTAAAGAAATTATTCCCCAATTAAAATAAATTAATTAATTTAAAAAAGAAAGAAAGGGCCCTAATCATGTCAGCGTCACCAGGAACCTTACCATGACTTCCCTAGAGGCCCTCAGGGACCACATCTGATCCCCATCATCCCAGCCTGCAATGGAAACCTGCAGAGTCTCTAACTTCCTTGAGCTTCTGTTAATACTTTCTCACCTATTTCCTTATCTAGAGTAATACCTGTATTGCAAGGTTATTATAAGGACTCGGTGGCAGGCACTTGGAGTGTGCTTGGCATGTTTCAGTTGAATGAATGTGTAAATTTGAAAACATCTTCTGGTTGCCTGCTCTACCTCCTTCTCTGCTCCTTGCACCTAAACCCTATATGGCAGATTTTCCACAAGACCTTGGTACACTCTGGCCTCTGTGGTTCCAGCTTCCCCACAGCTCCCTGAACGTACTGACCTTCTCCCCTTTCCCAGGACTAACCCTCACAGACAGGCCCTGGCCAGCCAGGTCCATCTCTAGGTCAGAAAGAAGGTCACTGAGCCTGGGAAAGAGTCAGTCAGAAGACAAGCATTGGAAGATGGTGCTGATGTTATAGGAGAGGACTCATCATCCAGGCTTCTGAGCATGGAGACGATTTGGGTATCTTTTCTGAAAGGAAAAGATAATCTCTGGTGAATTTTCAGCATGGGAGAAAAATCCCTTAAAGTCTTTAAAATTGAGCTTTATGGGAGGAGTATGAATTCACTAGAATGATAAAGGTAGCAACAGCATATGCCATGGCAGAGCAGCTTAACATCAGCATGCCCAGGGTGCCCTATCACTGGAATGTGCATGGATTGGAATGAGTGGAGAGGAGGATGAGATAGAGTTGAGACCAGACCATAGCGTGCATCTTGCCTTGTTAGGAGCTTGGATTCTCATGAATATATACATGCTCCCTGGAGCCATGTTTTTGTCTTGGGTGGTTTAGTCACTAAGTCATGTCCGACTCTTGTGACCCCATGGACTGTAGCCATGCTCCTCTGTCCATAGGATTCTCCAGGCAAGAATACTGGAGTGGGTTGCCATTTCCTTCTCCAAGGGATCTTCCCGACTCAGGAATCGAACCTGGGTCTCTGGCATTGCAGGCAGATTCTTTACCGTCTGAGCTACAAAGGAAGTCCCCTTTGTCTTGGGAGGAGACATCAAAAGGTCTTTCAATAGCGCACTGTGCTGTGAAATTGATGGCCTGTAATACAGCCCTTGTCTCGGCATGTTTCTAAGCCTTCCGAAGTCCACTTACATACACATTATAAGCCCACTGTGTGAACAGGGCCCTTTGGGCCTGTAACTGTGGGGAGTTTTTCAGGTACTTTTGAGGTTGGCAAGGGAACCAGTTCCCATTTGTGAAATTTCCATTCAGGGTATTAACAATGGGGATAAAAAATAATGTGCTAGCAGCTGCTTGCTGGGTGCTCCCGGGAACTCACAGCTGGAACTCAGAGGCTCCAGCTCAGAGGCTGGGCAGGACTCTGCCGCCCCAATTAGCCTACTGTGTCCTGTGATTGAATCGGAAAGCCAGAGTAATCAGTGGAACTTCATTTTCATTGGTATTTTTCCAGTAATTAAAAAAAAATGAGATTTCATTTACACTTAAGAAATATTGCCAGGATGGCCTCAAGCAGGCAGCATATCTTAATTCTAGGGAAGGGCTTTTGAAGTCAGGATGGACCTTGCATCTCAAGAGAGTCCTTCTGTCTCTCTGTGGCCACCGTGTGCCACCTAGCCATCACCTCTGTGCTCTGTGTCAGTGTTTCCAGGATGGAGTCAGACCCTCTCTCCTGGCTAAAATCAGTCAGTGCTGACTAAGAAACTGCTGTCTTTAAACAAATACCAGGTCCCTTGTCTCTCTCAGGGTCATGCCATACGGGAAGATTGTTTAAAAGACTAATTAATTTGTCCTTTTCCTTAGAGTCCCTATTCATCCATTTCTAACAACAAAAATTCAAGTTCTACTCATATATGATAAAAATTATATAATCTTCTTTGTGCCTGGATCTCTACCCCGGGTCCAACCACCCAGCGCCTATAACTCAATTGTCATGGGAGTGAGTTAGGAAGGCTACTGATGCGCCAGCCACAGAGATGCCCCAGCAGGTGATACTCCAGAGCACCTCTCCCCCAACACGACAACCAGAGAAGCTCTGACTTACTTATTTTATATAGTAACAGAGCTAGAGTTGTTTTAATGAAATGGCTAAACGTGTTTGAAGAAGCATAGCTGTAAACACACACTTAAGAAGGTACCACCCTGCCCCCTGCCTGAGCCTTATCTGCTCTTGGCAGAGCTCATCACTGTCTTCCCTATTTGTGGCTCTGTCC